TAAGCATTGAGAAACCCATCGTATAAAGAGTGCAGATCAGAGAGTTCAGCGAGGCCAGTGTTAATGCGGTCATTTTCTTCAAGCCACACGCGCGTGAAGTTGTGTGCCTGGGAAATATAACGAGGTAAGCGGGAGGAGGCGAGAGAGGAAAGGTGACTGTGCACGTCGATCGTTGCTTTAGAGATGGACAGCAGGGCATCTCGCTGAGCTTGCACTTGATCAAATATGGATTCCATCTCATTGATGCGATCTTGGATCTCCATGACAACATCATCCGCCTCGGGGGCATCTTTGATTAAAACAGCCACCATCTCCTGATACTCGGCGTCAGTCATTGGATCAAGAGGTGCATTCAGATTGGCGTTGATCTCTGCCCCGATGTTTGGCATTCCGTCATTGCTGCCATCAACACCAGTTGGCATATCCCCTGTGATGGATCGCGCAACTGCTCCTCCGCCATCGGTATGCTTCACAGCGGTGACACAGAGATCAAAATGCCTGACCAGGGCTTCCAAAAGAATGGCCATTTCTTGAGCATGGGCCTCCAGTGATTGAATCTGGCCCGGCATAGACGACAAGGTGAGAAGGCCGGAATCGGACGCAGACGACGAGGAAGATGTGATTGATAACCGGGATGACGCCAACTTTGTGGCTGTGTGGTAGTGACGAAGCGACTCTCGGGTGGCTTGAAGTTCGTCATCGAATTCACGATTGGAAGTATCCAGTTCAGCGCGCGCTGTGTTAGTGCGATCGATAGACGCTTTCAAAGATGCATGTAGCTCTTCAACGCCTCGCTCATCGACAAAGTCATGTAAGGACTTCTGCTTTTCATCCCCAGGTCTGAATGACGCGTGGACGATGGTCCCGCGAAGCAGATCTAACGTGTTTCTTAGCCGAGCATCAGCAGCATCCAAGTTTTTTAGTGCCAATGAAAACTCATCACGACCCCGGTAGGATATCTGCTCGACCTCGGTTCGAACGTCGTATAAAAGACGGAGTTGTCCATTGAGGCCTCGGCGTAAGAAGCCTGTCCGAGAGCACAGGACAACACTCTTCTCCAGTGCTGAGTGTGACGCAGTGACTATTTCATTGGCCCGCCAGACATGACTAATAGAGGAGAGCGAGCGTTTGGCACCCAGTAGATACGAGATCAAAGTGTCAACCTGGGGTAGGGATTGTTGGTCCTCGTCCAGTCCAGCCTGCGGACGAATGGACGATAAAGAGGACTGGGATGACGCCATTTTGAAAATCAATTAACCTTGTTAATGGCGCATTCGGAATAAGATAAGACCAGAGTCGATGAAGTGGTAGACCCCTTAGGGGCAAGGGTGAAATTGATTGACAGCTACAAGGTAAATGGGGTGATAAAACGCGTTCACTCCACCAAGCCCCTAGGACACTTCAATATAGGCCTATATTTGCCAAATTAGACTGCTGTAGAGTTGGTCAAAACTGGAGGAGAGAATGGCTACCTTGTAGACCATAGACCTGGGAGCTAGGTCATGGGGACCTTGGAAGCTCGGTACAATGAGCCAGGGCCGTGCTCTACACGGCGGACCCAAAGTGAAGCACGAGCTCTAGCCCAGAAATGACTTGCGAATAAAGGGATGAAAAACAGCCTGAGGCTTTCTCGGTCGAGACCTGATTCCCAGGGTAAGACGTGAATTATACGGCAAGCGGTTCACAGAAGGTTTGCTCCGTAGATCCGCAGTTGTAACCAAGAAAGCTAGGGACAGTGGGTCTCACAAAGTGTGAGTTGTCGGTGTGAGATGGCTGCGGGACTAGCCTGAAATCATACAAAGATCAAATGGCCCGTTTCACCCCTGTCGCACCAAATGATAGCGAATCAACCTGTCGGAAGCGTAGGAACTGATTGATTGAGGTGCGATGGCGTGGAGATGGCGACATGCGGATCATTGTCACGTGCAGCCTCACCGCCCAGATCACGTATTTGCCGCTCTGCCCCTGTCACGCAATAATTCCCCGGACTGATCGATGGCGATATCAAAGACACATCCGAATTGTGCAATTTTCTCAGTCATTGAATAATCATCTGATTTAAAAGCCTCTGTCGATCCATTTTTTTTTCTTTCTCTTTATCATTCAAGTGGAATTTAGTTGCCAACCTTGGAAGCTCGATATCGCTCTTATCTCAATACTTCCTCTCAGGGTACTTCCAAGGTTGAATCAAATAGCCCTTGACCCCCCCTCTATCCTGATCGTCGAGCAATTCTCAAGGACATACATCGCGAGATTGATTGACATATTTTCTGCGTGCTCAAAATAATCAATTCAACCCAAGAGATCAGGGATATACGCAAACCGACTGGTTCTTATCTCGGTACATCAGACACGACCGTCACTCGCCCGAGCGGCCGTCCCCTCACACCCGCGAGACCAGATCAGCCATCATGGCCGATAAACCAGAATCTTCGTCCACGCAGCAGAGCCTGGTCATCGCAAACGCGGGGGTCAGTGCGAACGCCGACTCCAACCGCTCTCCGCCGGGCAAAAACACCGACAATACCACCCAAACCCTGGACGAACTAGGCAGGCAAAATGTGGCCCCGTTCCTCGAAAAATATCAGCCACGACAATATGCGCCTTTGCGCTCACAGGTTTCCGCTCCATCCGAGCACCACGTAGTAAATGCCAGCTACTGCTATCGGCATCAACCGGACTCAAAATGCGGCAGACGCCAAGCCGATGAACAGTCGATGACCCAGCTGCAATCTGAGCTGAACTTACTTCCTCAATGTGATCAACGCGGTATTTCCCATGTGTGGTCGTTGTTCTCCGCTGCTCCGGCGAAGCAGCGAACTCTCATGCTGCAGGGAATTCTGGCGCAGTCCTGCTTCCCCCAACTATCCTACATTTCCGCCAGTGTCCGCGAACTCATCCGAATCGATTTCCTCGGTGCCCTGCCTCCGGAGCTATCCTTCAAAATTCTGCGTTACCTCGACACGGCTTCCTTGTGCAGAGCAGCACAAGTTTCTTCCCGCTGGAGAGCCCTCGCCGATGATGATGTGGTTTGGCACCGGATGTGCGAACAACATATCCGCCGAAAGTGTAACAAGTGTGGTTGGGGCCTTCCCCTTCTGGATCGCAAGCGTCTGCGTGAAGCCAAGCGCGAGATCGAATTGCGCGCTACCAACTGGGGCAACAACGAGCCTGCCGCTGGGTCGACTGAAGCCGCAATGGTCGAATCTTGCTCGACGGTCGAAGAACCTAGAGTCAGTGGCAAACGCAAGATGGAATCCGATGAAGTCTCCGTTCTTGCAAAGCGCCATTGTGCATCGCTTCCCCAGTCCCCTGAAGAGGATGACAATTATTTCAAGACTCGTTACCGTCCGTGGAAAGAGGTTTATCGGGATCGATTTGTCGTCGGTATGAATTGGAAGCACAAGCGCTGCTCAGTCAAGGTCTTCAAGGGCCACAGAGACAGTGTCATGTGTCTGCAGTTCGAGGACAACATTTTGATGACTGGATCCTATGATGCTACGGTCAAGATATGGGACACAGACACTGGCGAAGAACTGAGAACTCTCAAAGGTCACGTTGCCGGAGTGCGATGCCTCCAGTTTGATGACACCAAATTGATCACTGGTAGTCTGGATCGCAGCATCAGAATCTGGAACTGGCGTACAGGCGAATGTATCTCCAAATACAATGGCCACGCTGAAGCTGTCATTGCTCTTCACTTTGACTGCACTCTTCTTGCATCCGCCTCTGTCGATCGCACTGTCAAAATTTGGAATTTCAAGGACAAGTCTACTTTCGTTCTACCACACCCACAGGGAGTCAACGCCGTCAAAATCGACTCGGCTTCGCGCACGGTTCTGACTGCTTGTGACGATGGTGCCGCACGCCTTTGGGATTTAGATACCAAGACTTGCATCCGAGTCTTCCATAACCACATTGGGGCCGTTCAGCAAGTTCTTGCTTTGCCTCGAGAAATTGAACTGGAGAACCACCTCGCCGACTGCGAGAACGACCACGTCAGCACATCTTCTCAAAACGGCGACAACATCCTGAGCACACTTTCCCCTCTTCTCGAGGCCAAGTCTCTGTCTCTCCCGAACTCACCATTCGGCTCTTCCTTTGACCAGGATCAAGGCCGCGTTGAACCCCCGCGCTATATCATCACCAGCGGTGTAGACACAACCATCCGATTGTGGGAAACTAGCACAGGAAGATGCCTTCGTACCTTCTTCGGACACCTGGAGGGTATTTGGGCTCTTTCTGCTGATACTCTGCGGATTGCCTCTGGTGGCATGGATCGCATGGTCAAGATCTGGGATCCTCGTGTTCCTACTGGCCAAGATACCTATGAAGGTCACAGCGCAGCTGTCAATTGCATTGGCTTGAGCGACAGCCGCTTTATCACTGGTGGTGATGACTATCAAGTTCGCATGTATGATTTCCGGGCCTCGAGTGGCCAATGATTTTCTTCTTTTGTCTATCAAAAGTTTCCTTGTTGGTTACATATTTTCTGTCTGCATGGGATGGGGCGTATAACTGCGGCGCTGCCATCTTCTCTGTTCTTTTATTATTATTGCATCTCCACTTGATGGATGGATACCCTGGCGCATTCACGAACGGCTGTGGCTCAATCAAAGTGCTTTGACCTCACATATTGCCACTGACTGCATTACAGGCGCTACTTGGGTTTTGTTTTTCACTGCTTGTCCTTCTCTTCAGTTGTCTTTCTGGTTTCGTGTTAATACCATGTAGCGTGTTTCCATATGACCATCAATGAATTTGAACATCTTCGAACATCCATTTCACATAAATTAAAGTTCAACATCATAACTAGTTGACTTTTGAACTGTACAAAATGAATGGTTTGGGATCCTGGGGATCTAAGGCGTTAATCAACCTTCAAATATTCTGGGCAGACGTCGAGTAGTTGCTTGATAGGCCTACGACATACTCTGTTGTCTTCCTCTCTACCAACTAAATCCACTCACTCCCTCCAACCTAATCTACCTATCGTTACTATGGCGGACAGTCGAACCGATATGCGATCTGACCGGGTGTGGTCTTACCAAATGGATGACATTCTATGTGGTTGGTGTGTCGAGCAAAGCTCAGAGAAACCAAAGCTAACATCACGAAGATCGAGACTCTGTTAACATATACGCCAGCCTTACCCTTTCAGAAAAGCTTGATTTGGACACTGAATCTATTTCGCCTACTAGGTCTTCGAATTACAGCTGCGATATCTCCTCATCATCTACAATCCCGTCGGTTACCACGATACGGCGAAAGGTACTGCTGGGGATGTTCGTCTCATTGGAAGCGACTCCCAATAGGATTGAGGCTTTAGTTCGATTCGGGCTGGTCGCCATTATATTTATTACAGCTTGATTCATTGAAAAGGGCAGACTAGCAAAGCTCGAAATAACAAAGCCTGACGCCGAGAATGCGATACACCAACGCGAATTGATAACATGCCTGATGACTTTTCCAAGATCTCTTGGTCTACTGCCACGACATCCCCTATCCAGACTGCTCTCATTTATATCTTCATAGATCCTACACAAACTACCTTTTTGACCAAGTCCCATGTCACTATACCCACGAAGGGTGTCGTTTCCCCCGCCCCCTCTATGAGCGTAACGAGTAATTTCAAGTGACACATGAATCCTGCCTCGGGCGAATTGATATAATGGGTGGGGAATGGTGTCGGCTTTGCGGTCTGCGTTGAATGTGAGAATTGCTATTGATTGTAGTATTACTATTCTGTGATCCAAAGGCTATTGTCTCATGTTGCTACAGTTCCCCATCGAGACATGAATGTAATTCAATATAATTCAATTCAATCAATTGTTCCTGCTATTGAGACCCCTCCACTTCCTTTTATTTATTTTATTTATTTTACTGTATACAGACTGCAGTCAATATTTACATCGATATCATCTAATCTTCACTTCTAATTCACTTTCTAACGTACAGTTCGAGCCATTGAATGCTTATATCAACATTCCTTGTTCTACCGTCACTTGGACATTCGACCATCTATCCATCTTCATACATATTTTTCGCATCTTCCAAGCGTTTCAAGGTACCTTCGCATTGATAGGTGTCAATCAAACCCATCACTTGAGCCACGGCCTCCATTTTCATTCTTCGAGGAACCGAGGTGTGGCTTCCAAACTGACAAAACTCCTTGGTTGGTTTAATCTAAACAACCTGTAAGTATTTACTGCTTGCGGTTATTACGATCTTGACACTTATTAATGTGACAGCAGCTTCTTCACAGCTCGTAGCCACCATGTCATACTCTCCAGGGAGACTGGAGCGAGCACAGCAGGTCTTTGAACATAGTATGAGCAAATTCTGCATGCTCCCACACCTCGCTGGACCATATCACTTGCGAGAGCGTGCCCTCAAGCGTGCCGCTGTTGTTGGGTCATGGCATGACAATGACAAAGATAAAGACTACCAACCTTCCAGCAAGAGAACACCGACCAAGCGCAAGCTATCTCTTTTCCATGAGGATTATCACGGCCCTCGATCAGACAAGCGAGCCAGGAGCTTGTCTCCGATTTCTATATTCCGTTCGAGAATGAGCGCAGGCACGGAAAGTGAATATTATGTCCCCCCTTGGACACCGTCTCAACACAGTGAGCCCGACAGCTGGGACAGATACTGGACCGTGAATCCCGAGATAGACACACCGAATTCACAGTACGGCCTTCAAACCTACAATGACGACGTGCTGCCAGAATCACCACAAACGAATGACACAACCGAGGTCGAGGCCGAGGCATCGGAGTCGACTGGGGATGTCCTGCCTCCTGATAGCGAACTTCGGCTGAGAGAGTGCGCTGCCTGCCAAGAGCTAGGCTTTGAATGCTCGCTTAAATCTAACCCCGATCCGTTCGCCTATCCTTGCACAATATGTGAAATCGATGATGTCTTTTGCGTCGTGAGCCCCCCACCCAAATGGAAGCAAACATGCGAGTGTTGCAAAGGGCAGAACAAAGAGATTTGTTCGTATCGCTACGCCGACTATGACCATTCACAACCTTGTCTCCCATGCCGAAATCATGGGTTCGAATGTGTTGCTGGACCAGCTAGACACGCACCTTTTGCACTGCTTGCCACAAGTGAACCAAGCGAGCCAAGCAGTTCTCCAGTTTATTCTCCAGCACCCTCCAACTCAACCGATGGAACCCCAGAGCCCGATGTTTCTGAGGTATCTAAACCGAGTGAACAACTCAGTTCCCCTATCCAACCAAAGACCCAGATTCCAGAGATCAACCCCACAAAGGGCAATTCTTGGGAGACCTCTTCGCCTCTATTCAGCAGCGCACATCCCTCCGTTGCTGAGGGACCGAAGCCACATGAGGTGATTGTAATCACTGATTCAGACGATGAAACACCGAACACCCCGAAGAGGCAGGGCTCACCGATCTATATCTCTGACTCCCTCGAGTCACCTACTCGCACCACACCCTCAAATACCATCCCTTCGCAGTACGCGAACACTCATCGAATCTGGACTGAACTTGCTCATCCTGTAGTGTTTCTCGCAAATGAGCAGGACGAAGATCCCCCTTGCCACTGGTGCAACAACTTTGCATATGGAATCACTGGCCTTGGTCCTCGCAATCCAGAGGTCTGCACATTAGATAACGGCACAATTATTGAGCTACAAGATGGCCACATTGCCGAAGGAAAAGAACAGAGCCGGATGTGCGTCTTCTGTACATGGAATCGATGCAAAATCATACAATGCTCCCATGACACTCTCCATCTACTACCTGTACCTTTGTCAACGAAAGACCAAATGCGGACTGATGCTGCAGCACTTCTAGAGGAAGCAAGTGAAGCTCTGACTGACCCCGAGACTGGCAAGGCTGGCCCTGTTTTTCGAACTTCCCCTTACCAATGGTGCAGCCTGTGTCGGGAGCCCGCATTCGGGTCTTGCCAGGCAGTTCAACCAGTCAATGTCTACGCTGAGGTAGTAGACTGTGACGAAGAATCCCGCGGGTGTGGATTGATGCTCTGTGACTGCTGTCTCGACCTTACCATGCGATTCAAAGGTGATCTCAATGCTGTTGCTGCATGGGGTCGCAGTGACCCGTCTAACCTTATACCCTACCGAGCTGATGTGGAGTTAATCCTCTCGGGAGCGGAGAACAACACCATGTACAGGCTTTACGTGGAGGAGCGTTGATTTACAGGTTTTGCTTTCTTTTTCTCTTCTTTCTTATTTTTATTGTACATATCTATCTCACCATGGCTGGCTTTGCTTATAAAAAGCAGCTAGGTTGGAGACAATGCAAAATAAGCTTAATATTTTCCAAGTGTTGTTTCTGCTAACAAACTCATACTTGTTTGCAAAGTCTAATCTGATGAGTCGTTCGCGATAATGAGGGCATTGTGCCCTAATCCATTGTTCGCAATAGGATCAATAGCACCGTATTAAGATGACAATAACCCCCAATAGGAATAGAACTAGAATCGCGTTAAGAGAAACGTGAGTCACAATAGCTTTTCAATCAATCCCATTCACAAGTCTCTCCCCTCGAGCGAACTACTCTGAACAGTCCGCCCTCAAGTATAAGACCTTCACAGCTCTTTCCAATCTTTCTCCTCTCTTCTTCCCCTACATCTTTTTCATCGTGTTCTTTTCATATCTTCTTTTACTTGTACTCCTACGTTTTTTTTTTTCTGTTCACCAATTATCTTAATTTCATCACTTCATCTACAGACGCTGGTCGCCTGTGGATAGCCCAGGGTTTCGTTTCCGCTCCGGAAAAAAAAATTACTAAACTTCGGATTTTCTGCCAGTCGAACTCGCTTGTTCACAACCAAATCCCCTTGTACTTCCACCAAAAGGAAGTAAGGGTGCTACTTTGATCCTATCTACTATTTTCCCCTGGTTGCCCCGAGCTGCGACACGAGGTGCGCAGCTCATCGCCACGACGTCTTCCCCAAAGAGAAGAAAGGTTTCCCCAGAGCCTCGCACCAGTCCAGGCCTTCGGGCTCAACGTCACGGCCGCTCCGTACCTCCACACTCTCGCCACACGTCTTCTTCTTCCTCCTCCCGCGGCCAGAGTTCGTCGTTGTCCCCGCCTCGCTACGTGCCTGCGCACCTGCAGTTTCAGTCTGGAAGTCCGCCTGGCCGCTCGCTCACTCCCGCGACCGCGACCGCCGGACTCACCCTCTCCAGCGACCATTCCGACATGCCCTCCGATACTCGAGAGGGTACACCTCCAACTCATGGACGATCCCCTTCTCCTGGCGAAAAGTGCCCGGCGTCCGAAATCACCGACTCTGACCCCGAAGGAGGCGTGAGCACTGGCTTCAATCCCACCCGCACATACATTATTCCCCGCACATGCGACGGCACAAACGATGAACCCCCCTATCCTACCACCTCAAGCAATGAGAAGACCGGGCCGGCATCCTCGGCCGGCGAGCGGTCCAGACCGGCATCGCCCAAATCAGACGATATTCCTACGATCGACGACCAGGTGGCTGAGGTGAATGCGTTGATGACAGCGCCGCTGAAGGATGGACAAAAGGGCTTTGTTGTGTCAATGGCGTGGCTAAAGAAGGTGCTTGCACGTACTACGGCTCATGCTGATCACACGGACAAAGGACCATTGGAGGATGTCGGTCCCGTCGACAATATGAACATAATGCTCGACACCGACCCGGCCACTCCCACCTTCAAAGACGAAACTGGTGAAGTTTTCGTACCTATGCGCCCCGGTTTGCACGACGCTCTGGATTTCGCAATCATTCCGCAACATGGTTGGGACTTGATCCAGAAATGGTACGGCCTCGCCGACCAGTCACCCATCATAATTCGCTATGCTCACAACACCAACCAACCCGGTGATACTGAAAATATCGAATATGAGACTTATCCTCCAATTCTCACCATTTTCAAACTGTCCAACCCAGCTGTGGGTACTACACCGACCATCTTGAGACAAACCGTCAAGCCATCTGTGAAGATCCTGGCAAGTCGCCAGACGAATTACCAAAAATGGTTGAGGGATGCCAAAGAACAGACTGGTGTCGATATGTCCACCAAGGTTCGGGTTTGGAAAATCCTCCAGCTCCCCCAAAGCACCACTGCCTCAGCGTTGGCAACCCCAGCTGTCTCCCGCAGCCAATCGCCAGCTCCTCCATTGGCTCTGATCTCTGACCCCAACGACAAGCTTCTTTTCGATTTGAACGCTTTTCTCGAACTTCCAGAGGGAAGCCACCGAGTGTTGCTTGATGGTGTCAAGGATCAAACCCACAATGCCAACTACAACGGTCGCATGACCTTGGACATGGCTGGTCTTGCCGCGGCGAATTGTGTTGTTCTTGAGGAACAGGTCGGCGGTTCCAAAGGTGGAGAATGGGTGTCTGAAGCCTCTGCCAAAACTCTCAAGAGTCTAGGTATCCCTGTAGATCAGCCGAAGAAAGATACTGCTAGCAAAGCAGCTGTTGCAAAAGCCACACCGAAGAGCACACAAGCCAGTGGCAGATCTACCCCTACACTTGCTCCCGATCCAATCAGGGGGCTCATCTCTCGAGGTCGGAAGGGTCGACAGCTCATCGTGGGATTGCAAAACCTTGGCAATACTTGTTACATGAACTCTGCGTTGCAATGTGTGCGAAGCATTGAGGAGTTGTCTTATTACTTTCTTAGTAAGTACACTCATTTTACTGTTGGATACTGCGAACGTGATGCTAATCTTAATCTCCAGGTGGATTGTACAAACCAGAGCTGAATCCCAACAACGTCCTTGGATGCGGCGGCGCCATTGCCAAGCAATGGGCCAACCTGCTTCAGGAGCTCTACAAATCGGACCCTCAGCCGAGATGTGTCAACCCCTCTAGGTTCCGGGCTGCCGCTGGTCGGCAACGTGAAGAATTTGCTGGCTATGATCAACATGATAGTCAGGAATTTGTGATGTTTCTCCTTGATGCACTGTCGGAAGATCTAAGCCGGATCATTGGCAGCAAGCCATCCACTGTCATTCCTGATTCCACTGATGAGATGATTCATGATCGCAAGGCTCTTGAGGATTTCGGAAAGAAGTGTTGGGAGCTCTACGAGGCCCGTAACGCCTCCGTTATCACCGATCTGTTCGCTGGAATGTACAAGTCAACATTGATCTGCCACAATTGTGAAAAGACCAGCATCATCATGGATCCTTTCACAATGGTCACTGTGCCCATCCCAACGGGTCCAACACTGATCAATCGAACAATCAACTTTTACCCTCTTGATGGCCCACCGGTGTCTCTGAAAGTCCGCCTGGATGAAAATGATACTTTGAAGGACTGGAAGAACTTTGTCGGTCAAAAGGTGGGAGTTAATGCAGAACAAATCTTTGCAGCAGAAACATTGCACAATTCCTTCTGGCAAATTCTTTGCGACGATGACTATACTTTCGGCAGTCTACGCATTTCCCAAGAAGACACCGTTGTGTTCTTTGATCTTGGTCCTCTTCCAGCATCTACCAACTCTTCTGACACTACCTCCGATGGTGATGCAATCCTTGTACCCGTCTTCCACCGCAAACTTGTTCCGCGCAAGGACAGAGAGCCCACTCGTGAACTTTTCGGAATCCCATCCTTCATACGTCTTTCTAGTGACGAAACTCAGAACCTCGAGGCAATTTACCGCAAGCTCTTGACCCAAGCCAATAATCTGACTACACACGACATTCTGGCCGTCGAAGAAAAAACGACCGATGACAATGCAGCTGATGACTCTGACACCGTGGTCACAAACGAGGATGATGCACGATCAGCAGATTCCCGAATCAAAACTTCTTCTGTTGACGGCGAAGACAGCATCGTCGACATTTCTATGCAAGCTGAGCAAGCGCCTAAGCCTGCAGAGAGCTCCGATGAGTCGGATTCTGACTCTGAATCTGTCGAATCCCCTCGGCATCCTCTTGCTGGCAAGATTCCTGCCAGTTTGTTGTCACTTTTCGATGCGACAGTCATGAGCACAAATGCCACTTTGCCTGATGGACGCAACATCTCCACCCTGAAAAAATACCCTTCTATTTCCTCTCGCATCCCATCTCCTCCCACTTCTACTAAGGTTGTTTATTCCATCTTGTCCATTCATAATCAACCCGCTAATATTTGCCAGGGATCCGATGCTTTATCTAAAAGCTCCGCAGATGACAATGCCGAAGATGACGTTGATACAGATGAATCAGATGTCACACCAAACTCAGCACTACCCCTCCTTCACCAAGGCGATGCCATTCTCCTTGACTGGACTCCTGATGCATTTGATGCCCTTTTCGGCGGCAAGCTACGTGATCCCGAGGAGCTCCGTGGCTGCCCTACCTACATGAGCATCAAGAATGTCTATGATCATACCATGGCGGTAAGCCAGAAGAAACCGAAGCAAACAAATGTCTCTCTCGACCAATGCCTGGACGAGTTCAGCAAGGAGGAAATTCTTTCTCGCGCAGATAGCTGGTTTTGTCCTCAGTGCAAAACTCACGTTTCGGCCACCAAGAAGTTTGAGCTGTGGAGAATCCCGGATATTATGGTCATCCAGCTCAAGCGATTTAGCCAATTCCGTGGCAGGCACGGACACAAGATCAGCACTCTTATCGACTTCCCCTTCGAGGGACTAGACTTGAGCAGCCGCGTGGAAGGCCCCGCGAATGGAAAAAGTGCGGTGTACGATTTGATTGCTGTCGACAACCACATGGGTGGAATGGGTAGTGGCCACTACACTGCCTACATCAAGGACTTTGTTTCCGGTGCCTGGGTCTATTGCAACGGTTCGATGCCCCCTCCATATGCTAATTGGGAGATATCTTACTGACATTCATTTCAGATACCTCTGCGACTACTGTCACCAACATGCAGTCGATCATCACATCGGGTGCCTATCTCCTGTTCTACCGCCGTCGCTCCGACCGTGCATTTGGTAACCAGGAGCTGCGGGACCTAGTCGAAGGCTACCGGAACCGCGCGGGGAGCGTGTCTGGCAGTTCCTCCGGTTCCCGCAGCCCTGGTGGGTCCCAATCACCTTCGGAGGACGGCGGTCGTGCCATTGGCAGCGCACCCCGCAAGGTGTCGTCTGCCTTGGCCAGGGCAGGAGTGGCACCCCGTGTGAGCCGGGGGCAGGATTCCCTCGGCAATGATCTGTACTCTTCTGTCGAGGAGAGTACTTCGGGCTCGGAGGACGGGGGTAGCGAAGGTAAGAAAAACGGCTTTGAGCACGAGAACGGAGGATCGCAGGTCGACTCCCTCAGCAAGCTCACGGAACCCTCTTGGTCGTTCGACGCCGCTCACGACATCTCACAGATTGCCGGTGGTAATTCTGCCACCGAGGATGGCGTCTTTGAGGGTCGATGCCCATGGGGTGATGGCATGGGCATCGACCCTCAGTTTCAGTTTGGTCTCACTTCTGGGGGTGAGGGGGAGGATTCCTCCGATGATCTCCCAGTCGTGGAACTGCGTGTGGGGTCCGAGGACATCATGTCCTTGGACCCATGAATGATATGAAAAAAGAAAAGAAAAACAAAAAAAAAAAACAAAAGGGGACGAGGGGCGGATGGGGGAAGGGGGATGTTTCTCTACATAGAAGGGGGATGGGCAGGTGGCCCATACAAAATAAAAATCATGTTTCTTGTTTTAGTTTTTTCAATCATCTTCTCAAAGCAAAGTAAGAGTGAGGCCAAATTCAGGTCAACGTAAAGATATAGCGAAATTGTAGATGAAGTTCATCACTTGAGTATCAGATTCATCGCTACATACAATCGTTACATACAAGGCGTAGGCCTACTATGGCCTTGCTTCCTTTATCGTAGGTCGGACGGAATCAAATTTGTCCACACTTTGACTCTACACTTAGTCTTGTCGACAAGGGGTGCTAGCAATGTGTGTCCATATAAGGTGACCTCGCTCGGTCTGTGAAGTTTGATGGTTTTGTTCTTTGTTCTCTGTTCTCCCATTGTTATCTACCTAGAACACGATCAGTTTACTATCAAACGACAGTTCCAAGAGGCTTAAGTGGATCATAAATGCAGACATATTTGTTTCGGGATTGGTATAACTTGCTTCACGGGCAGTGTTTCAGTGCTAGACTCTTATATATAATTTGTCCAATTCTTCCTGCATTATCAGCATATATGCTGTACTAGACAAGACTCTGGTCTTATAGCTATATGCATTATATATGTGCTAGCGGTTTCCAGTCAACAGAAAGTGTTTGATTCCGTGGAGTGAAATTCCATAGGCTGTACAAGAGGGCTTGTGCAGCTAGTGAGATTGGCAAGCACTCATAGTACTAATATTTATGGCAACTGCAAAATATATTTGTGCTTTAAAATGTCCTGCATTGATTTACCTATCGGAATATATGGCATTTAAAGTCACTCAGGGATTTAGACATCTCCGTTTATGGACTCCATGTCGGAAGCAATGCATACAGACATACGGTATGAGCAGATGATGTGCATGATGTGTACATAGATCTGTACAGAATAGGAAGTCATGTAGCCAAGGCTCTTTGTAAGGAAAGTGCCAGCCCTACAGTCCCTCCTTCCGTATTAGGGCAAGGTGCGTGCTAATAATCACCTCCACGCAAATGGTCTCCAAATTGCCACGCTTCTCTCACTTCAATCACCCAACCTCCGTAAATCCACGCACTCATCCCGAAATGAAACGCAATGCGCCTTCTCCGAAGCCTCAGGGATTCTCCAGCCATGAGCCATTCGAGCTCAATCCCAACGTATCTATCTTATGTCCAGAGGCTATCAACTTCAGTGCTGCCAGTTCCAGGTCGCTGATTGAAAATATCAACGCCGACAACGCTGATAGACACTTGGATCACCAAAGTGCCGGCGACCAACTCGATATTCTGAGGCTCGAGGTCTTGCGTCTCAAGTTATTGAAGTCCCAGAGACCAAATTCTATTCTAGGAAATGAGATGCCTCCGTACGCGACCCCCGCCCCGACTCAAAGCTCGAGTTCCAATGGACAGCCGGGTCCTACCGTCCCAAACTCGATGCGAACCCGTGCTTCAGTCCTGAGCGAAAGTGAGATTAGTGTGCTTGACATCGGTCCAAGCTTGCAGTTTCCCGATATTCCAGCTCGCCGCAACTCATCCGCTGCAAATCCTCATGATGGAATCGGCCTCGCCCGTACCACTTCTCCCAGCTTTGCGCTAGGGCTTAGTAGTGACACTTTGGACCACCCAGTTGAACGCCGCCTCGAGGTTGGCGAACTTGGTTCTGTCACTCTCACTTCCGACAGTACCTCTTCTCACAACGAGTTCACTCGGAACCTACGTCAACGCCGCCAGAACCAACCCAACATTACTCTGGCTAGCTCCCAGGAGCCGCAACCCCATTATGGAAATCATTCACTCACCGCCAGTGGGGATCATGGTTTGAGAGAAGGATTTGACTTTGGCCACAACCCTACTTCCTTCGTCGACAAGGCCAATAGCTGGATTTTCTCGCTCTCTGCTCCGCAACCTCCCCAGTCTCCAACGCTGCCACCTCTCCCAATTCTACAACGCACTCAAAGCTCAGTTGCTGGAATCAACCCGGCTTTATTAACTATGCACAATACAGAGCAGGTGGGACGAAATGCACACGATGCTGCAGGCTTTCAGGGTGCCGATCAGACGTAAGACACTGGGCGCAGAAACATTGAGATATGAGATATGGGAGTCATTCCACTGCACGAGAAAACTTTATGGACTTTGATGCTTGTTCAGGACACGGCGGGACAACATCTGAGGCTTTTGAGATATGGAAATCGGTTCTAGAACTATTTGTTACCTCTTTACTTCGAGCCTGTTGCCATACATGCACCCTTCAGCATAAATCACCTTTTTATTAGCATATTGCTCTGACCTGATGTTAATTTCGAAGTCCTTTTTGTGTAGAGTAACTCCCTTCCAATCTTGTTTGGGGGATATATTGGTTAAGCTTGACTGGCTCGGTAATATTTCATGTCCTGCTTTAGAGCCTACCGATCCATGGATATATATACATCGACCGCTTTTGGACCAGCGGGGGTTCAAGCTGGAATCATCGCAACCATTAGATCCTAGGACACAAGACATCTACCAAACACTTTCAAGTTTTCATCGGCTGTCCCATTTTACAGTCTCTTGCCCATATTCCATCGATGAAGATTGGAGTTCAAGCCTCCTTCATGACGTAATCGCGAACACCGCCCTGCACCAGCCACACCACGACTTCCCCCCCGCAGATCTCCCAGGCACAGCTTCTCCAACTCAGTTTGCGGTGCTAGTTGGTCTTATCCAGCGTCCATACCCTCATAATGTGGAACGACGAAGATAACAATCCCTACGGGGCCTTTGACCAACATCAGTCCGGCCTATCTGACTCTTTACATTCAGCCGCACTCTCTCCTCGTAAGTCTCCGCTCGGTTCGCACCCTAACGCTTCTGCCTTTGGATCAGTATCTCACAGCAGCCAGCTCTCTACGAACACGACTCATCCCCTCCGTCTAGTCGCGACTCCAACGGCGAGCCTCCCGATTACATCACCCATACCGACGATCTCAGCGATCCCGAAGATGAGGCCGAGTATGGTGCCGCCAGTGAACAATACCCCCGGAAGAGCGTCTATGACAGCCGCATTGAACAGATCCTTTATGAAAACCCCGATATGCCAATCTTGATCACAGATGCCGGGAAAAACCATGAGGGAGGCGGGGGCTTTATTGTTTACACGATTCGGACTGCGGTATGATAATGGTGCCTGGCGGGGAACTGTACAATGCTAAGTGTTGATAGGACCTGGAAGTGCGCCGTCGATATTCCGAGTTTGCATCATTGCGACAAACGCTTGTCAATTTGCATCCCACCTTGGTTGTTCCGCCAATTCCCGAGAAGCACAGCATGGCGGACTACGCAGCTAAACCTACCAGGGCTAAAGATGATATGGCCATTATAGATCTCCGAAAGCGCATGCTCGGTGTGTTTCTCAACCGCTGTCGGTGTATGAAGGAGATCCGTGAGGATGGAGTGTGGTGGAGATTCCTAGATCCCAACGTTAGCTGGGTAGGTTTGACCGGGAGGCTCCTGGCGACGAGTTTATTAGCTAACTTTTGCCCAGAGTGAGGTTTTGAGCTCCCATCCTGCATCATCTGTCCCAAAGAATAACCTCAAAGCGCCACCTCTTGACCCCGCAAATCCCACACCAGCCCATGGCTGGCTCCCGGTTCCCTCTGCATCCGCAAAGCTCAAGACCAGCGGTGGCATTACTACAGCGAGCGCAAATCCAGCATCGCCTACGTCACCGAATGAGCAAGAGCAGCCCTCATTCCCGGGACCTGAGATGCTTGGGCGGTTCCCTCCTGAGTCTCGAAAGCTTAGCGAGCAAGAACTGGACCCTTACTTTATTAATTTTGAAGCTTCTACACGTGAGCTAGAACTACTTTTGCAGGGCAACATTGAGAAAGTTAATCGACGAACTCTCTCGCATTTGTCTGGACTCTCAGCCGACCTCATGGAGTTGGGAGCGCGTTACAACGGATTCTCTCTTTCTGAACAGTCACCAACAGTAGCTGCCGCCATTGAGCGCATCGGCCAGGCTGCAGATACTTCGTATATTGAAACCGAAGAGCTATCCTCGGCTCTGAGCGCAAGTTTTGCGGAACCTATGCGGGAGAGTGCTCAATTTGCTAGTGTGGTTCGCGGAGTTCTACGATACAGAGTGCTCAAGCGGGTACAACAAGAAATGACTCGCGATGAGTTGTCGAAGAAAAAAACTTTACTAGACTCCCTTGAGCGCAGTGAACTAGAAGCCAAGCGTATCGAGCAGTATCTCAATCGCACCAACCCTCATTCTGGAACGACGAAGCCTCGTTCTCTGTCAACTTCATCCGCCAGCGAAGGAGGCAGCGGCCCCATAATGTCAGCCGACTCTGGCCTCCAATCTACTCACACCGATTCTATAAGCTCTCTGCCTGGATCGCAGATTGGAGGACTCAAGAGATCGGACCCGTCAGTACACGGTCATCGCAAGACATCCAGCGGGACATTTGTGGCGAATAAAATTTTCGGTCGCATCAGCCATGCCATCCACGGATTTGCTGATGTAGATCCCGAACGAACACGTCGGGACCAGATTGGAAAGACGAAAGAAAGTTTGATTCAGGTATGTGGGCCACGGAGTAAAAATTTCAGATGGTTTCAAAGCTAATCTCGATTTTTAGTTGGAGCAAGCGTTAGAAGTGTCCGAAAAGGACGTCAAGGATGCGAGCGCGGGTGTGCTGAATGATCTCAAGCGCTTCCAGAAGGACAAAGAAGCTGACCTGCGACGGTACATGGTATGATTGGCCCCCTAACATACCTGAAAACTAAGACTAAACTTGGGTTTCTAGGTCGCATATGCTCGTTGTCACTTGGACTGGGCTCGCAAGAACCTGGAGACATGGACCGAAGCTAGAGATGAGGTGGACAAGATCGTGGCTCGATAGAAGACTATACTCCATCTTTAGTCTGATGGAGCTCGGCGCTGGCGTTCGGCGGATATCTTTTACTTTTTTACTACTTTTTACTACTTGTCACTACTCACCTCGCTGGAACAAATTTGGTATATCCAATTCTTTTAACTCCGATTCTCTTGAGTCTAGGCTATTCTGTATAGAAAGTAGTAGCCCTAGACGGACAAGGACAAGGCTCTGTCTTACCCGTGCCCTCGTACCTGCAACCCTACAGGATGATATTGTTAGAAAGGTGTCAAACGAGAAAAGGGCTTGCTCCTAGATGGATTTATATCCGTTTTCATCCTCCTTGGAGAAGAGCGATATGTTTAAAAGGCAAAAGGCGCATTCCGAACATGTTGACCAATCACTTCCCGTGACTTGAAAAGGACATCTGGAAGATCGACACTGCAACCGATTGATTTCAAAAGTCAGGTACCTCCCTTGCTTGCCGACTTCACTAATTTATGTACAAAGTTACGGTGTACGACTATCTCGGAGTTCAATCGCCTGATATGTAGTTGGTCTAACAGTGATCCATCTTTTGTGCCACGAGGCCTTCCCATCCCTTCCGCTTCCATCACGCCAAGGCGAATAACCCATCTGTATCTCCTGCAATATACAGAACAACTTATTACCTCGGCATTCCGAAACCCTGCAGGCATGTCCAATTGTGGGCCTCTATTGAGTAACCAGTGGACCGTGTCGCAGCTCCTTCACCCCTCTGCCCTGCTGCCCTGCATCATCAACTCCACCCTACTAGGGTGGCAACGCCGTGCGTCGACTGAAAACGATGTGTACCTGGTTCCATCAAGATGATCGTCAGGGCCGGTCACTTATCACGGTCGATGTCGCCGTCTGGCCATCGCGATGGATTTCGACATCAGTCTTTTTGGAAGCAATTCCCTCGACGCTGGATTAAGATGCTTCTCTTTCTCGCCTTAGTATGTTTCTTCTCCGTTGGTCTTGGTTTGGGTATCAATCGAAGAGACCAGAACTTTGAGCATGACCAGAAGTCACAAGATCTCGGAAGTGACCAGGCTATAAGCGGCTTTCCCCCTCCTCGTCAGACACAGCAACATACACATGATCCTACTATTGTCCGTGTGGGCGATGAGTATTATCTTTATCATGTTGGCGAACACATCCTCATCGACACTGCGCCTAGCCTGGCTGGCCCGTGGAAGCGCGTTGGCAGTGTGCTGGATGCCAAGAGTGTAATCCCAAAGGGTGATCGTGCCGCACCCTGGGCCCCGACCGTTATCGTTGTCGACGACACATACTATTGCTATTACAGTGTTAGCAAGGCTGGTTGCCGCGACAGTGCTGTTGGCGTGGCTACCTCTAACTCTCCTGGCCCAGGCAACTGGTATGATCACGGCATTGTCATTCAGACTGGCACGGGCAATGGATCGGAAATTTCTCCGTACACTAAGTCCAATGCCATTGACCCTAGCACATTGGTCACTCCCGATGGACATGCTTATTTGACATATGGAAGCTACTGGAATGGAATTTTCCAAATTCCGCTGAGCAAGGACCTCCTCTCTCCAGCGAGCACTACTGAACCCGATGACCGTCAGCTGGCGTGGGAACCAGAATCCCTCGCCCCGCCGAATCGCATGGCCAATAACATCTGTGGTGACCCAACCGGTCCCCATCCTATTGAGGGTGCTTTTATCTCCTACAACGATGGATGGTACTATCTCTGGTTTAGCCATGGTTTCTGCTGTAATCTGAAGCAAGACAACCTACCGGCCGCTGGTCAAGAGTAAGTCTTCGCTATCTAGTGACTTGTTGTTCTATACTCACGTACTTCAGATATTCCATCCGCGTTGGACGCTCTCAAAGTCCCCGTGGGCCATTCACAGACAAGAACGGTACAGATCTCGTCAAGGGCGGCGGCGAACTTGTCTACGGCTCGAACGGAGAGACCTATGCCCCAGGCGGGCAAGCTGTGATCCGTGACGGCGATACCGATGTGCTCTACTACCACTACTGTTCGTTTACCCTTAGACTCAAATACAATTTTTGAACACCATACTGACCTCATCGCAGTGAACACGACCGTTGGCATTGCATTCCAGGTGAGCTCACACTTGAATATTGGCAGACTTGTGGGCCACGATTGTCGTGGTTCATGCACCCCTGTCGATCCTCCTCTGTTACCCCTTGCACAAACGTCATCAAGATTTGATCTAACACATACAATCATAGGACGCCTTCCTGGGATTTAATCCTCTCAAATATGTCGACGGATGGCCTATCGCTCAAGCCTGATCGTCATTAATTTCCCTTATCTACCCTCGACACCTATAGACCTCCGGGATAGTCTCGCCCAAACCCCACCGCATCCCCTTTCTTTCGAGAATGGGATCGAATTCTGCACATTTTCGTGTTTCTTTCTCGCCAACATACCTGACACAGTCGCCTCGTCGTCTGTTTCGCGCTGATAGATTTGTTTTTATTCACCTCTCGCGATTATATTGCTTACACACATCACCGGTTCTGTTTAAAAGTTCCTTGTCTGCATTCTGTGGCGTCAGGTCCTGGGATATACAACTTTTTGCTCTCGGTATATTTGATCGTTTATGTTTGCAGTTTGTGACTTACCTTACCAAAATACATATATTTCTGCCAAAGCGGATACAATCTTAATACATTCTCCGAAGAAAATAAGCTCCAACGTTGCAGTAAAACGGTTATAAACTATACAAACACGCTAATTGTGTGCACAATTCTGCTGATTTTGCAGGTTTGTGAACGCCAAGACTCTAATTTATGCAAGAACTGGGTTTTCTAACGCATCTAGTCTAATGGGGCTCTCGATCTAGGTGAACAATGAGGTCGCTCGCGTTTGCGGCCTCTACCGGAGAACAACATATATAGCTAGCTCTTTTGGTCTTTCTTGGTCTATAAGCCGGGCTTTTTCCAGCGTAGGATATCGCTCAGAAATCAATCACAGCTCCTCCAGCTTCAACTCCTACTCGATTGATAGACCTAAAACCCTATCACTATGAATTCCTAATCTTAGGGCAAGAGAGGATTGGCCGGTGCGGAATATGAAGAACTCGAGATTCTTTGTTAGGACTTGGGTAGCCCCAAGTCTTGGCCTGTAATGTAGTGAACATCCCATCCTCATTCGATTCAGTTTCATTAGTATAGCTATGGATATACGAGCAATGTGTTTGAGAATCAAATGTATAGAAGTCTTAAGAGATTTAGCTATGAGATATAGATTTTTGGCATGACACAGGTTGTAGAAAAGAAATATCGACTATCATGAACGCAAATCCAGAAATCTGGAAAACTCCCCACCCCAATCCACACGAAATAATCAACTTGAATTCACCATTCCTGTTTCTCTTTCCAGCCGGAAGCCTGGCTTCGATTTTCCCATGCTGCATCCGAGCGTTCGCGGTTTTGACTACGACGCTGCCTCTTCTCATTCTCCTCCAATTCAATCACCCAGCGTTCTTTTTTCTTCTTCTTGTCTCTGTCTACATTGTGACCTTGGCTCCGGGCTGAGCTGCCACCGCCATGGTATTCTTCTTCATGTCCCCTGGAGTTACCCCATTTTTCATGGTCATTGTGACCTTGGCTCCGGGCTGAGCTGCCACCGCCACGGTATTCTTCTTCATGTCCCCTGGAGTTGTCCCATTCTTTATGGTCATTTTGTCCCCAGTCACGGTTGGGGCTTGACTGGTCTCTTGACCTTCGTTCCGAAGATGCACGGTAGTTGTCTTTGCCTTTCTTGTAAATTTTTGCATCATCATTTCCCCATTCACCGTGGCGGTTACGGTCTTCGTTGGAATAGTTGCTTCGTGGATGGCTGTTCTGCTGTGCACCATTGTCATCCTGACCCCAACCACCGGGCGGATCCGCTTCATTTCTTGACGCTTGATGTGGAGAAGCAGGGCGGTCGTTGGACCATCCATTGTGATGGTGTTGCTCTTCATTGCTTTCTCGTGTTCCATTGTTGTGTCTGTGGTCATCGTAATGTTCGTTATCCCACTGAGGGCTCTTTTCCCTTGGGCTATTGTGATTGTCTCGTCGTGGAGAATGTGATCCATTATTTACCAGATCTCCTTGGTCATTGTTGATATCGTTACCCCAATCGTTGTTGTCCTCGTTCTGCCCAGTATTGTGCTGATTGTCCCGCGTGCCGTCATCATCTCCCCATCCATCCCCACCACCATGGTTGTTGGTTTGGTCATTTTGTGCTTCTGTGTCTCCCCATTCATGATTCTGCTCGTCGTGGCCCTCCTGGGCATTGGGGGAATGAGCACTGTGAGGCTTCTGGTGGTTCTGGCCTTGGTTCTTGTATTTCTGTTTCGGCTGGCTTTGTTGGTTCTGCTTGCTCTGTTGCTCATCTTGGCCTTGCCGCTGCTGTCTTTCCTGTTGCTGCCTTTGTTTGTTTTGTAACGCTCGTTGCTTTCTTTGCTGCCGTTTAGATAACGGGTTCGGCTGCTGGTTCGCCATCTGAGGACTATGCGTGCTCGCTTGGGTTTGTCCTTGGAAAGGTTGGTCAGGATTCGGGTTACCGCTCGGCTGCCGTGGGTTAACGTACTGTGGCGGGACATGGGATAGTCTTCGGGCCTTTGGTCGAACCCATCCGCGAGGGGTAAAGTAGGGTCCAAATATGGCATTTTGGTCTCCGTTTGCGGGCTCATAGTTGGCCTGGGCGCGATCTTGGTTCCTTCTGTTGATGATTCGGCCTTCTTGGTGCAGTTGGGCCAAATGTGACCGATACCAAACGTAGAACAACCACGCGAAGGCCGGGGTGACCAACGCTATCGCCAGAAAAACTGCGACCAGAATATTGTCCTTCATGGTGCAACTCAGTAGCGAAAGAGTGACTCGAAGTGACGGGTTTGGAGTGCGTGCAGCTGCAGTGCTGGGAATGGATTTGTGTGGTGTACGTAGGATAAGGATGAATGGGCATAGAATGAAACAAAAAGAGGAGAATGAAGAGGGTGGAGAGTGGGAGGATT